AGCCAAAGTCAATCATATCCCATTCGAGACCTTCGTTCAGATACTCTTGCTGCTCCTTTTCGAACATGGTGTTGTTGAATAGCTGCTGTAGCTTCTCGTTTGTGTAGTTTATACATAGTTGTTCAAAAGAGTTCATCTCGAATATCTCAAATCTAAAGTTGAAGGATGTTAATCAATCAGTATCGTAGAAAAACTCAGGTTTGTGGAAATAATAATTACACGTAGTATCATTTACCCAGCGATATCAAGTATCCCTACAAATGAGACTGCATGCTGTCGCGTACGGTCCAGCGATTTGTTCAGACGTTGCACCAGCCATCTTTAATTACAACTCGAGATAACGATTGGGTTTGACGTGCTCGAAAACAAACAAGCTCTTACCTAAACAGTCGCTCATAACATGCTTTCGAAATAGCCTCAACAGAAAACTTTGCTTGTTCCTCATTCTGGCTTCGATGCACATACTCTCGCCCAACCTAGGCAAGGATATTTGGTTTTTGCACTATTTACTACCTCTAATCTTGTTTCCACTAATGTAACAAGGAATGTTAAATGACCGAATGGGAAGTATGACATCAAATATGATCAAACTCTCATACCTTGATCTTAGGCTTGAGGAATGCCTTCATAACGTCTGGGAGAGTCAGACCAAGAAGATTGCAAATTTTTTGAGCCACTGCGTCGTTCACAAGAACAGCTTGATCAGAGTTTTTACTCTCGTGTGCAAATTGCAGGTTCCCGAACAACAGTACGGCTGATACAATCCGAAATATGGCTGAAAGAAAAAGTTGGCACAAATTCAAGAAATAAAGTTCATTCATACCTTGTACTTCTGAATCCTGGAATCCAACAACCTTCATAGCATGCATTGTCTCGTTGTATTCTACAGCGTCATCAACTCCCGGCAAGGTTACGTCGCCGTTAGAAAGGAAGTGGTAGCTATCCGCGCTTGACTCGAGCAGTAGAGATTCTAAACCAGCGCTTACCAGCATTAATTAGAATCCCATAACTAATGTCCCACCTCGCTGCACTGTATTTGCTCCGTGCAAAAGTTGATAAAAGATGTGAAAACACCTTTCCATTGCCGACTGTCGAAGAACGCGTGATTTTTCCAGCAGGTAAAACTCAATGTTTGCACCAGAAATGCATCCGGTTGCGTCGAAATGAATCCTTATAAACTTGCCCTGAAAAATAGAACGTGCACAGAACTGCTTGACTTATGATAAATAAATCTTACAAAACGGGATGAGTTATCGTTTTTAATAGTTTTGCTGTTTCCGAATGCTTCCAAGATTGGATTGGCTTGCAGAAGCTGCTCTTCCAGGCGTCCCTAAATGCCACTCATCACATCTACTACACTTGAATAATTTATGGCTTGTAGTCATTTCATGTAATCGCCGTCATCGGTTAGGACAAAGATGTATTCAAGTTTACTAAGCATCTAGATTTTATCATTGCAAAAGGCAACTTACGATATTACTACTACTCGAGGTATCCAAATGATGGTTACCAAAATGCTGAAAGCACAGTTTCATTGCTCAGCCAACCAGTTAACCCAAAAACATTACCTTATGCGATCTTGTCCCGGCAACATATGCAAGATATTGAATTACTTTTTTCGTGTTTTCGGTCTTACCAGCTCCTGATTCACCACTGAAAAAGTAAGACATCTGCAAAAAATTTTTTAGAAATACAGTATAAGGAAAACGCACGTGCAGAGTATAGACTGGTCTTCTCTCTCCTGTAACATACTTCGATAGGCCTCATCCGTCACAGCAAAAATATGCGGAGGCATTTCTTTCCTTTTTCTTCCCTGAAAATACACAGAAAAAAGTAGATGACAGTGAACTGTGTCATCAACTTATTTCCTCGTTTGGAACAACAGGTTTCATTCTACAGGATGGAAAAAATGCATACGTGATCGGTTTACACGGAAAGGTTAATAAAATGTTTTGTCACTGTAATAGGAGATGCATCAATGTTGCACTTTGACAACGAAAGTAATGCGATAAATTCTGACTTAAATATATTACAATTTTTTTCTATGAAACTTGAAAAGTTGTTCTAGA